TTTAAGACTTTTCTTTCAAATTTAGTTCTAGTTTTTCTACTTCCTTGGATTGTAATCCAGTCTAGTTGGAATTGGATTGACAATGGAGACAGCCAGGATCAAGTCCGCCCTGAGTCATAGAAACACACTGAGCAACATTGGACCAGTTAATCCAGTTGTTTCTGTGGGGAGAAATGGGAGGAGGATTGTTTTGAATTCGCCTTGAGACAGAAAATAAAACTAATAGCAAAATAAAATACTAAGTTCACAAAATGAAAAAAGGATTTTTGAGTGGTATAGTATGTTCTCTTCCTGGAGTCTTCTTTGTTCATGCAGAATTGAAAAGTAGCTAAATGTACTCTCACTTCAGGTCCTTCCAATTAAACAGTGTCCTCTTTTGGGACTCAGAAAGCCAGTCTTCTGAGATGTAGAGGGATTCCCACCCAGACAGCATAAGGCCACTGAAGATCTGGTCTTCTCCCCAGTTAGGGTGGTTAAAGCCCCTTTCTGGCTGTGTGATATATATATATATATATTGGTATGGTTGACTGGATATGCCATCTTGTTTAATATTTCCTATATGATTATATATTTGTTTTTCCCTTTTTATATTATATCCTGAGCTGCCCAGAGTAAAACTGGAGACAGGCAGTACCTAAATCAAATAAATAAAAACATCAGCTGAATTTAATGTAGTGCAAAGCCAGCATTTTAAACCATAGTTTATTCATTGTGCAATGGAAAACATTTTCACCGTGAATCCTCTGGAGGGCAAATTTGGGAATTTTGTCCCCAACAGTGAAAGAGAAACTGGCAAGGCTTAAACTCTAGCTAGGGTTTATCATTCTCTGGGGGGCGGGATGCAATGGAGGCTGATGTTAGTTTCATTTATTCAGCTCAAAGACCTCTCTATATTCCTTCATTTCTGAAAAACACAAAGGTCTTGCAATAATTATTATTAATAAATAATCAAATAATCTGGAATTACCACATGGCTACTATGAGCGAGCAAGCTGTGCGTGTGTGTGTTTGTTTGTGCTTGTGCATTTGTTAACAGTTTAAAAAAAACAATGATTTTTCAACTCATATATACATCATATATTTTAGAAAGCAAATATACTGCTCAAAAAAATAAAGGGAACATTTTACCATGGAACTGAAAGGGTTTGCGTTCCCTTTATTTTTGTGAGCAGTATATAATCCTAATTTCCTCATCCCGGCCAACCAGGTATACTATTTTTATTAGATTTTTAAATAAAAATTGTGCTGATTCATCTGTTTTTCTTCTCTCTCTGTCCCAAAGACAAAGAAGTAGGTCTTTCATCTTGCCTTTAAGATGTTAGTATATAAAAACTCTGCATTCCTAACAGGTAAATATTAGCATAAAACAGTGTATAATTACTACCTAGCCTCCACCCCATGCCTCTTGACAAATTGACTTTGGACTTGATGAAATACAATGATTTATGTTGCTCAAAGGATGTGATGTATTCATACATAATTCACTTCAACTCTTTGAAGCTAAGCTTGCTTTCCCAGTTTAATAGCTAAAAGTAAAGTTAATGCAAAGTGGGTGCTAAATAAAGACCTTTGTACGAATGCCAAACTTACTAAAATAAAATAAGAGTATCTCAAAGGAAAGATTAAATAATTTATTATTTCATAACTCTGTTGAGAGAACCTCATATTTTCTTCCATGATTTTGCCCTCAAACATATTATGAAAACTCTTGTCTTGAACTCTCACTACTCCTCACATTGTTTGAGATCTAAAAATAATTAAATGAAAATTGGAAAAATCACATACAAACCTAAGAACAGAGAACAGGGTACAGGATTTGTTCGAAATGCTACTCTTAGTTTGATCATATTTTTTAAAAAAGCTTTTTTTCCCTTTTAGGCCAGATATAGAACAAAATTGTCTTTCAATCTTCATCTTTCATATAAAAGGCATTTAATATTATCGACTCAAACTGAAATTGCCGTGTGAGATGTGAAGAAAAATGCAATCGCTTTTTGCTCCTTTTGGACAACATAAACAAGGGGAGGGGGAATAACAGTAACAAGTATTTCTAATCATAAAACAGTTTTTGGAGTGGGTGATGGTCTATATGAAAAACTTAACTTTTCAGGTTGAAATCAGCTACAGTGAACTTAAGGCGGAGATAGCAAAATGTGTATAGGTCCTGTTGGATTCATATTTCTATCAGCTATATTAGCCACGGCAAATTTGGCTCTCCCATTAGTAATAGATTGCTATGTGTGGAAAACTATATTTTGAATATCTTCTTTCATTTTGTCTCTAAGAAGATAAGGTAAGTGATCTTACCCCCAAGCGGAAAGCAGTTTAATTCAGAGTTCACAAATCAGTGAAATTGATTCAAATGCATGGTAGAGAGATTTTATCTAGACAGTATTTCACAGTGTCTACTCCACAAATATGAAACACTTGGAATGCATAAAAAGCAGTAAAAAATAGAAAATGGAGAGCTCTGATGGTAGGTATAATCCAAAATTCTCTGTTTATGGAAAGAACCTGGAAAAGAAATAGCTGTAAATTGAATCGCATTTACTCTGGGCTAAGCTTATCTAGTCCCCAACATTATTTCTTCCTTGCTTGAGCCTACTGGTATAAATGGACTCCCATCTTCAATTGATAAATGAATAAAGGTCTATAACAGATAAGAGTTCCATGAGATACTGCAGACTGAAGTATCAAGAATACCTAATTCTGTAAACATTACTCAGAAAAGGAACATCAGGAAACCAAGGTTTAAAGTGCCGAAGAAGATATAATTGTAAAATTCAGTACCAATAGTGGCAGATAATAAACTGTAAATTTTATGCAACAGGATTGTCAAGAACTGGCACTAAAAACTAACACTGGCGTGCAGTGACAGCAAGAACCTATTAATACTATGTCCTGTCTCTCAAGGAAAACAATGCAAATCAGTCATTCAATTCCCATGTAAAAAAACAGGTGTGCTGCCATCCTGCATATATGACCACATGCAGCAATAATTTATGTATTTATTATTTCCTTTTAATGGCACCTGACCTGGGGTCTCTTACTATGCAACTTCTAGGTATGAACTGAAAAGCCAAAGCCAAGAGATTTTTCACTCTTGTATTCAGCAATCCCAGAACAAGTCCAAGATTTTACTAGAGAGTAACTGACCATCACATTCAAAACCCATAGCTAGTTACTTGAACAGTTTGAATGGAAGTCACGTTTCTATGTCCTTGGTCTGATCTTGCAACCAGAGTTGCTTAGTTTTTCCACATGCCAGAATGGCCAGCTGACGTTGTAAGCCTACTTGCATTGAACTCCTATTTTTTTAGAACCAACTCTTATTAAAACTACTTTGGAGTCTCATCCCATAAAGTTCTTTAAAAAAAATTGTTCAGGACCTTTATGAAATTGGAAGAGCCAGCGTTTACAGTATTGCTGCATACGATACAGTTAGTCCTCAACTTACAACCATCCGTTTACTGACTGTTCGAAGTTACAGCGGCACTGAAAAAATGACTTATGGCCATTTTTCACACTTTATGACTGTTGCAGCATCCCCATGGTCACGTGATCAAAATTTGGGTGCTTGGCAACTACTTCACATCTCTCACAGTTGCAGTGACCCGGGGTCATGTGATCACCTTTTGTAACCTTCTGACAAGCAGGGTCAATGGGGAAGCCAGATTCACTTAACAACCATGTTGCTAACTTAACAACTTAACAAAAACGGGGAAAAACTCACTTGACTATCTTGCTTAATAACATAATTCTTGGGCTTAATTGTGGTCGTAAATCGAGGACCATCTGTACTGGTTTAAATTATAATAGTGCTGGGATTGTTTGTATGTCTGTGTCTGTGTGCATACATATAGCAAGAATACTTGGAGATATGAAGAGAGCTGCATGTTAGAAGCAACAGGACCTCCACTTTAGATGCTTTAGTTGTTGTTTTTCCTGTCCCCTTAGGGTTCTGCTTCGGGCAGTGGAGTATCTTCAAGGAGTGAGAGAGACAGAAACCGAGAGACAGGGTCAGGGAGAGAGAAAGAGAGAAAGAGAGAGCATATTACAGCATTCAGGCCCCAACATGATGATTATGAGACTAAGTAGTTACATAGCATAGTTCATTTCATTGGTTTGAGGTTTCTTGGTCTGGAAGATTTGCAAATTTCTTTAATTCTTTTGTTCTTTACTGATTGCTTCTATTTTTTAGTTTTGATAACAAGAGCATGATGCAATTTTCCCTTTTTTCCCCTTTTTAAGGTTTGTTTTGTGTATGTTGCAAAAATATGTTATATAACATTATTACTAATACTACAAAAATAGTGAAAACAGATGTTTTTCCAGTGTTCTGCTCTAACATTTGCTATTGACTACGTTTTCACCAAAGTCTTTTGAAGTCTATATATATTGTTTTGGCTTTACATAATTCAATTCTCATTTGCTTAATGCATGATGTAAGTGAAAATTAAAGTTAACACATGCATAAAAAATGAATATGCCTCACATACTCATCAGATATAAATATTCTTATTCAAATATACAATATAGAACCAGTCTTCTTTCTATTACCACAATGTGAATGGCAGTTTTTGAGACTATTTCTTAATTAATAGATTTCTCTAATATATAATTACTAAATACTAATCTGTGCTTCGGGGGCTGGTAAGACGATTCACTTGACAGCAAATATTGAAAATTCTGGGACCTCACATGAAATCCTAACAAGATTAATAATACAAAGGAGGAAAAGGAGGAAGCTTTATTTTAATGGTTAGTGCCTACAACATCAGCAAAACAATATCATATACTTCCTGAAAAGGTTGTTGACTTTAATCCTTGTCTTCGTGCCAGTTTTTGGAACCAACCCTAAGCTCATATGTCAAATCTTCATTTAAGCCTAGCATAAAGATGTCAATTGAACTGTTTTCCTATAGATTTTTAATAGCACTCTTCGGAGCTTGTGCGTGGCAATTCAATCTGTATGTCTCTCTCTTTTGCTTTGTCTCCAGGCTAATACACGGAGGACAGCTGTTAAATGGATTGGCAGGCCCAACTGTAACAAGTGCTTCTCCACTTCTTTCTACTACATGGTTTTCACCAGATGAACGTGCCACTGCCACAGCTATTGCATCATTGATCAGTTACCTTGGTGGAGCATGTGCGTTTTTAGTAGGGCCTTTGGTAGTTCCAGGGCCAAATAGCACATCAGCAGTTCCACCTGTGTTTGGAAATAGTCCTGAGTATATAAAGGACCGCATTGAGGCTGTATTGTTTGCAGGTATCTAGGAAATAATTTTATACTGTACTACATGTATATCTGTTACGGGTTTGCTACTGCCCTCTAGTGATTTATCCAGCAAAAAAATGTCTCTTGCTACAAGAATAGAGATAATAGAATTACTTGCTTTTTATATTACAATACCAAACCCTAGTTTTGTGTATTAGCTATAAATTTTATCTTCTTCTTGAACGTGATCAACCCTACCTATTCAATTCACTTGTCAAACATTTTTCAACTAGAATGTGGTTGTGTTAAAATAGAACTGTCACTCCTATTCTTTTCTCTCTCTTTTTTGCCAGTTCTGCTTTTCAGACATTAATAAAATACAGATCTCATATAAAATTCTGTGGGTGTTTTTACACTGTAAATCAATGTAAGGTTCTTACCAAAGTTATTTCAACTTTATGTATATTTTGTCTCATCTGATTCTGTAGATCCATAGTAAATAATTACTTTAAACAAAAGCTAATAGGATATGAAAGTACTTTAAAATTTGGTATCCTAATAGTACTCGCTATTGCTTTAACCAGACACATTGATTGTCCAAATCAAAATTCAATAGATTGATTTGATCAAATTTTAAATATCAATTAAGAATAAATTTGAGGCTATGCACACATCTAACAAGTGAATTTGTTCAGTGTGCCGGACAATTTACCATATTCTTCCCTAGGATATTCCATTCTGTTTATCTCTCAGCCTTCCTTAGTCTTGCCCACCATCACATTCTGTACCATTGAGCATCATCAGGTACCACTGAGCTAGTTGTTTTTATATTAGAGAAGATTTAATGCGTTTCAGAAAGTGCTGATAGCAGTATCCAATCTCTCAATAGCCCTGTTTCGGCCACCACCCTTTGGCATTTACTGACTGAATTGGCTCTGAGTATAAATTATATTGTCTGAGGCTACTAGCAGTTAAGTTGCTTTGAAGGACAGAAGTATGCATAGCACAAAATCAGCATGGCTACAAATCATGGCATGATATGCAAGGATTTCTTGGCAGATTATTTGTTCAATGAATACATTCCATACAGACTTACAGTTACAGTCTTAAAAACTTCTTAATTGGATTTAGCTTGGTACCAGCATATCTGCCACATTTTATTCTTCACTTAATATGCATTAACGTTATATTTGAAAACAAAATAAATTAAGGCAAAGGCTGGCATGGTGAAAAGCTAAATGTTTTGATAAGAGGCTGATTGAGATCAGTTTATAATTATAATTATAATACAGATTGACAATTAAAGCAACTTGAAATAATGGGTTTGTTGTTTGCCAAGGCCGTTTGCTATTTTCTGGTTATTTCTTGACAACATATATGAAACCAGATTCAGGAGAAATAATATTGCATTAAGAATGCAATATTATTTCTCCTGAATCTGGTTTCATATATATTTTGAACAAAAAAAGCATCAATTAGTTGGAATTCAAACCCAGAAAGAAAGTAGGTCATAGCTGTCAATGTACAATGTACAAACCAAGGTTTGTTCAAACATGAATTGTAACTAGTTAATATATGCAGAACAAGCACATGAAATCATTCATAGGCTACACAATATAAATATCTAATTTAAAATATAGTCTATAAAAAGTTAGATTTCTAAATAGCTTTTTCATGTATCACACAAAAAGCTTAAATAAGAAATTTCAGTTGATAATAACTAGATAGACTAACTTCACTGTTTAAAATAGCAGGGAAAACAAGCCTAGGCTATAGACCATATTCTTCCCTGCTTTTCTCCTTATGACCCAAGGAAGGCCATTTAGGAATTAAAGCCAGAATATATATTCTGTAGCCACTGACAGAGAGCAAGCTTGGCGTAACAGTTAAGCCACGAGGACAGAAACCAGGAGATTGTGACTTCTAGTCCAATGTCCTTGGACCGACCAATCACTCTCTTAGCCCTAGGAAGTCAGTGGCAAATTACTTCCAAAATTCTTGCCAAGAAAACTACAGGCACTAGTCCAGGCAGTTGCCAGGAGTCAACATTGACACAAAGATACACCCACCCCTATACAATCCATTGATGTCACTTGGTAATGCCATATTCTCAAATATCTGAGGTAGAACACTTGTTAGAGATGTATTTCTGGTCTCAATTATCCCAAATTTTCCTCCTTAAGGAACTTTCAAAACAGTGGAGACTGCCCCTATTGTAGGTACTCTATTTAAATGTTCTTCAAGTGTAAAGGTCCAGTTACTAATTTGTATGGTAAATGCTTCTGATGGGTATAAACATACGGTAGATAAAAACAGGAGTTGAAGTTTGAGTTAGAGTTTTTGGGTTACAGAAGCTTCATTGGAGATTGCATGGGAGATGAATGAAGGCTTCAACTCTTCTCTAAAATAAACAGGTCTATATAGCTTCTGTTCCTGGCTAAATTAAAGAAAAGAGAAGCATTTTTGTAGTTGGTTTTCTGTAACATAGATTTCATTTCAAGTAAGAGTGAAGTAGCCTTCAAGATATTGCTAAACTACAATTCCCAGCACAGCATGGTCAATGGATGTTGAATTCAAGAAGATCTGGTGGTTTAAACATTTGTCTGAAGCATCCAGATGATTTGTACCTTTATATTTAGAAAATTAAATTATATGCACAGTGACATATTCCAGTAGACTCATTATCTGTTTGAACTCTATGTGGATGTTTTTTTTATTATTTACTCATGTTCAAAAGTTCATTTTCTTTACATAGTCCAATAGATTTTCAATTTAACAGAGATTAAACACCTAATAGTGAGGAAGGGATTCTGTTAAGGTAGAATGTCTGTTAAATCCAAATGGGTTTTTATGCATTTTATATATTCTATGCATTCATAAAATGGGAATAGGATTTTAAGAATTGTATATTTTATTTTTGTACAACATATATAGCAGATTTTTGTCTTTGCATTTTAAGTCTGCTAAACCAAGGGTTTGACCAATCAAAATATTTACTGTACTGTTTATTTCTACTGGCTAGTATATGTTGCTCTTCCTTTTCAGCTTAACTTTTCTTACATTTAAAAGCACAATGAAAATATATCTCAGTGTTCATTTGCATAGCGTAACTGCAGTTTTCTTTTAAGAAAAACTCATTTAGATTTAGATTTTTAGATTTTATTAAATTTATACCCCGCCCTTCTCCCGGAGGACTCAGGGCGGCTTACAGCCAGTTTAAAACAATGATACAATACAAAATTTAAAAAGATTAAAAATAACTATTTAAATTTGGCCGCTTCTAGTAAAAATTTAATTTAAAACCCCTTTAAAATACCCCTAGGCCAGTCCTGCCTGCTGAAATAACCAGGTCTTAAGGGCGCGGCGGAAGGAGGGGAGATCTGGGATCACCCGGATCTCTGGGGGCAGCTCGTTCCAGAGGGTGGGTGCTCCGACAGAGAAGGCTCTCCCCCTGGGGGTCGCCAGCCGACACTGTCTGGCTGA